TCCCCTTAATTCATTGACACGTATTTTCATGACACCAACAACTGCACCAGCAGACCAAAAACAAAGACAACTTCCAGGTCCAGGAAGTCCGTGTCTCGGCCTGCGTCACGGTCTGTGTCCATGAGCGAAGAAACAGAGCGCCGTGATGCTGAAACCAGCTTCTCATTCAACATTTCACCTTGGAAACAAGGAGAGGAGCGTCTCTCACACCTGCTATACAAGCTGCCTCTGCACAGAAACCATTCACGCTGCAAAAAATAAAGGCAAGCTGTGTTTGAAAAAGCTCTAATTTCCCGCCTGTGTAAGGATTCAGAGGTGCTGTGCCCCCTGTCGCTGGTTGGTTGGAATCATGTGGATCATGTATAAATGGGAAACAAACAGACCTAATCTTTTTTTAAGTAAAGAACAGACAGGTAAGAGACTATGAGGATATATTCCCTCAATTTGAGAACAAGTGTAATAGATTAGATTGGCTCACTTAAACTTTAAATGCCAGCCACTGTGAACCACTTTTTCACATAGCTGATTGATTACATAAAGCATTTCAGCAGTTCATGATGTTCAGCTGGTTGCATCTCATCAGATAGTTTTTATCAAACCGACACATTTGATATTGAAATCTCACATCCTCCTTTTCTCACCAATTCTCCGTATTTTTCTGAATAAAAAAAAGAAAAGAAAAGAAGAAGAAGGGCAGCCTGAGTGAGTTGTTAAAGAATTCTATTGGACCTTCAGGTCAAATGGTAGAAAAATCAAAGTCATTTCTTCCTCCTTATTTTATTTTATAGGACTAAACACTCACAGTGTCAGGCATAAACACTTGACAGATGGTTTTAATCAATACTTTTATTCTAAAACACCACTGGTCGGTCAATAGACTTGCATAAATGTGGCAAATGTTTGGCCTTTATTTAAACTAATCTCTCCTCTGTATTTATATTATATTTCGAGCGAAGGCATCTGTGAGGGAACGCCATGTGAACTGCTGCTGATTTTTATGCTGAGCTCTGTTTGAGAGTGCTTGGAGAAACTATTACCCTGAACAAATAACGGCCTTGTTTGCCACTTTGATTCCAGAGAGAGCTCACACAGAGCTTTCCTCAGTGTTCCTCCAAGCCTACTTTGTACAAGCCAAATTATGAATTTAGATTAAACACATTTTTCTCGAGGCGATCTAACCATGATATCTTGAGTGTAAGGAGAGTATGGATGTGTTGGTATGTTAGGGGACAGATATAATACTATTCCAATATTTCGCAAAAAAAAAAAAAAAAACACAAAACAACAAATGTATTATTCATATGACCCAGACATCTTGGTCCGGGGCACAAACCTCATGCGTGCACACTGGATCAGAGACGCTTGTCTTTCATATTTCTGAGAACTCCACTTCTTGACAGCAAGGTCTGCCGGGATTTGCGTTGCCATGGCAAGAGTGCCAGTGGGTCAGACAGCACAGTGGGGCCTAGGGGTGTGATTGACAGGCTGGCTTGCAGTTGTAGGTAGCGGAGCAGGAGAAAAACCCAGGCCTGCCTTCAGGCAGAGGGGAGTTGATTGGCTAAGGGGTCCTGCCCAGAGGCAGCTGCCAACAGCAGGCTCTGTTGAAGGTGGATGCTCCCAGCGAGTCGAGCAGCAAACTCTGTGCAGTATGGACACCCCCGATACATCTTAATGTGAAAAGCAAGCACCGTTATCTTTGTGGTGATAGTACAAGATTCCCACTCTTATTTCTAGGCTACAGCTTTCTGTTTGAATTTTTGAGGAACAGGTGCCTGAACGTGTCACAGTCTGGGTGGCCTCAGAGAAAATGAAAGACAGGTAACAAGTGCAAGAGGTAAACATCTAGTTGATTTCTTTGTCAGATAGGATGAAAGCTGTGCTGTCTCACGCTGCAGACTTAATAAGATACCTGGCTGCAGGCCCAAATATTTTCTCAAACATGTTTTCATCCCCGTCAGAACGTTTACTCTTATAAAACCTATCCTCTAGCAGAAAGTAAGGCCCACGGTTTTCATATTGCCCTCTTGTGTCAAGGCGAGGCCACACAGCCGCTAGCATTCGGGCTGCAGTAAATATTCAAAAAGGAACTCTATGCAATTTTTATAAGACCTTCCACTGAGGCGGGGCCCGTCTTTAACTGTGTCTTGAAAGACTTTTTTTCCACACAAAACTTAAGAGTTGGTCAAAGCGGAACACCGCAGCTGGGGAGACGCAGAATGAGCTTTGAGAGCTCTAGACCAATTTCCACAACAGAGAGCGCCATCAAAGTCTGTCAGTGGAGTCTCGAGGCGCTCGGCTCAAAGCAACCCAAACTCAGCCTGGTGGAGCCTGGCTTCCAAAGATGTTTATGGACTCCAGAAAACCGGAACAGAGGACGTTTCCCCGAGCAGAAACCTGCTTGCTGGGGACAATAACAACCCCGGTAGCAACTGCAACAGATGTAGTGTCAGTGTCCAACCTGTTCACTTCCATGCTTCTTCCTGTCACAGAAACTTTCCTTCCTGATAAGGAATTAGACAGCATCCATATCTGAATTTGCGAATGAGCGGTCATGTGATGGCTCGTGAGTCATGCAGCATGTAACGAGTGTTCCCCGATTGGTCGCTGGCCTACTGTGACTCAACCGGTGTCTCTGGAAGCAGGCTGTCCGCCTCTGCACAGCTGTCCTTCTCCTAATGAGACGCTGGTGCAAAGCTTGACACTCTCACCATGCAGGGAGAAAAAGTCCCTCGACATGAGGATTAGATCTACCATGCTGCACACTTAGTACGTCTGCCTCCAGAGCCGCTCTTGGTTTCTTTTCTCCTTCAGGTTTAAGCCTCCAGTTGAAAGCCTTTATTTTTATGATTGTATTGATTCTTCTTATTTTGTCCACTGGGTTGGTGCGGATCAGGCTGAAAGCCCAACGTCTGACTCTATCAACTCATTAAGTTGTCGTGGTTACACATCCAACAGATGCACAACAACAGAAGCATTCATTTGAAGTCATGTTTCTCTCTGCCTGACAAATAAAAGTCCAATATTTCTTGAACACCAGAGAAAAATATAGAAATCTGAAGGTGCTGCTTTGAACTTTGTTCATCAGCTCTCATCATGATCACAGCATACCACTGCTCTTGACGTTAAAATATTGGAGATCCGCGGCAGAACAACTTGAAAACACATAAAAGCATGAATCTTTGCCTTGTGTTGTGCGAACACATACAGAGCACGCTCCGTGTCCCAGTAATGGGTTGGAAAAGGAGCTCCACATAAAAATATAATACTTCACAGCCTCTTGGAATCTTCACAAGACACAGTAGGCCTGCTGGTTGAAAGTAAGCCCTGTCTACAGTGTACATCTATAATTACAGCTTTC